TGTGTGTGTGTGTGTGTGTGTGTGTGTGTGTGTGTGTGTGTGTGTGTGTGTGTGTGTGTGTGTGTGTGTGTGTGTGTGTGTGTGTGTTTTATACTGTCACCAGAACAGCCTCTTCTCCAGCCTGATTAGTAGATCCAAAATTGAAACAGCCGCACATTACAATCATTTGTCCAGTTATATGTGATATTTTAATTGATTGCAGGAATTTGATAGCTGTAACGTTTTGATGAAACAACCATTTAAATTGTTCTCGTCCGAGTGGTGCAAAGCCCACCTTGTCTGTGTACGTGAGCATGGGATGTGTGTGCTTGTGTCTGCGACTCTGCGTCCATGTGAGTCTGTGTGTGAGTGTGTTGTATGTCTGTGTTTGTGTATTTGTGTCATGTTGGCTAATACACAACACAAGAGAACGTACGACTGTGCCAGACCGTAGTGTCAGGCTTTCACGTGCTCAACAGGAGTCTCAACAGTCTGGCCGGGATGCACTTGACAGATGGATAAGGACTCACATCATCTCCCAGAGTTATTGATACTGCTGAGTAAAGTTGCCGGCTTTGTTCACGCCAAACCTGCAATCCTATTAGACTGTCAGTCCAAACCCTTGATGGTGTAGAACCCACTCTTCACACTTACTCAGCCAGGGATGTGTGTGCGTGCAAGTGTGCATGTGTGTTGGTGCATGTGTGTGTATGAGTGAACGTGCATCTGACATAATGCTTTTATGCTTGCCGAGGGAAAAATGTTGATCATCTTAACAGCTCTCCTCATGTCTTTTTTGTGTATGCCACAGTCGCTTCGGTAAATTCGTGGAGATCCAGTTCAACAGAGGCAAGATTTCTGGGGCTGCAGTTCGAACCTATCTGCTGGAGCGATCTCGTATCACTCAAGTGTCGACACCTGAGCGTAGTTACCATTGTTTCTACCAGCTATGTGCGGGAGCCACAGCAGAGGTATTTCAATCTTACACTTCCTCCCACTCGCATTCAGCTCCGGACAGAGTTACTTGGGAGATGTATCCACCATGACACTCCCTATCTTCACTGCACATAACCGTATCATTCAGGATAATCCCAGGTCAAACACTATTCAGGTGTCAACTTGTTCAAACATATTCTCGAACAAGTGTCAGTCTCTTCCTTGACACTTCTGAAATTGAATTTTCCAACATTGCTTATCCATACCTACTTTGCAAGTTCAAAGTCCAATAATACTCATTGCATAATCAGTTCATGCCTTGTATGTCAGCTTTTCCCTACAAATTTTGTCGTTTTCCTTCTTTTGTGTGTGTGTGTGTGTGTGTGTGTGTGTGTGTGTGTGTGTGTGTGTGTGTGNGTGTGTGTGTGTGTGTGTGTGTGTGTGTGTGTGTGTGTGTGTGTGTGTGTGTGTGTGTGTGTGTGTGTGTGTGTGTGTGTGTGTGTGTGTCTGTCGGCGGGGGGGGAGGGGGAGGGCGTTCTGGGTGTGTTTTGGGCATTTTGGCGCCCTTCATGATTTTTTTTGGTCTGGCGAATGATTTATTGAGATGCCCCGTCGTGACCAATGGGCAATGATTGCATGGTATTGTACAGGATGCAACTCAAACAAGTGGACAAATATGTACACGTGGGTACACCATAATAGGAAAGCTGGTCACTTTAGGCTCATACACTTTTGTGCGCCATTGTTCCTCAGCACACTGTATAGCACAGGATACAAGGCTTTTCTTCACATCACCGAAAGGCAATGATCCACACACTGTATAGCACAGGATACAACTCAGACAATTGGCCAAATATGTACATGAGGGAATACTTAAATAGGAAAAGTGGTCACCTAAGTCTCATACACTGAAGAGGCTATGTAGTAGATGTGCTCACACCATGACCTGGAGCAGATCTGGTGGCAATTTGAGACAAATACATCCAAGCAAATCCGCAGATACGATAAAGATGAACAATGAACATCCTATCATGCTTTGCATTTTTAAACCTCCAGGTTTAACTTCTTGACTTGAACTCTATATCTTATTACTTCCTGTTTTGCTAACAGTGTCTCGTTTTTAACTTCCGAGTATTTGACTCTTCCTTCTCTCTGGCCCTTGTTTACTTTCTCTGGTGTGTGTGTGTGTGTGTGTGTGTGTGTGTGTGTGTGTGTGTGTGTGTGTGTGTGTGTGTGTGTGTGTGTGTGTGTGTGCGTTCCCATTCAATGCGAGCAGGAGAGAGAAAAGCTGAAGATCGAAGCTGCTCCAAACTACTTCTACCTCAATCAGAGCGAGTGTTTTGAGGTTCCTCGATTTGATGAAGTAGAAGAGTACAAGGCAACTCGACATGCCATGGATGTTGTGGGTATCTCCACTGAGGAGCAGGTACGAAGTTCATCTTTTGTTCATTCTAAGGCCCTACGTAATACACTTGTACTGATCACCCAGACCCCTACTGACAGCCAGCCATGCAATGCTAATGGTTGAGTTGGCACGAGGTTCAGACATTCTATAAGACATACAAGGATAAAAGAACCATATGGTAGTACAGACCCAAGAAGCATTGTATGAAGATAGGGGACAATTTTGGAATCTTTGTACTTGTGAATTGCCCTTTACTCCATAAACCATGTGTAGCGCAGGCACATATTACAGCTCAGTGGTGCTCAAAATACCACTGTAACATTTTCTAAGGGCATACTTCCATCAGGATTGTGAATGGTCAAATGTGGCCATAATGTACATCTCAGAGAGTTTACTGTTATGATCGAACTCCATTCATAAATGTGAGACAATGCAACCCCTTGCTAAACTTCTATGAAGAAGTGGAAAGAGAGAACGAGCCGAAATGAATATGTCAGCACGACAGTCCTTCGGGACATCCCTTAAAATTGGAACGATACAGAGAAGATTAGCACGGCCCCTGGGAAAGGATGACATGCACAAATCGAGAAATGTCTGAAATGGTCAAAAAAAAAAAAAAAAAAAGGGAAAATAAAAAATGTCAGCACGACTGCCTTTTGGTGGGAACATCATTGCAGCCTGCAACTCTAGTACAGTACCCGGTAGGGATTTTCCAGCAGCTCGGGCAGGCCCACTCGGATCCGATAGGCTTAGGTTTTCTTATAAATTGTCAGGACCTGTACGTGGCTATCTTGTCGTAAGCGGTTAATGGGGACCCCCACTTATGTGTTTTTAATTTATTTATTTTTGGTTTTTAATTTTTTTTTTAATAATATGTTAGTAAGAAGTGCACTCTATACATTGGTGTGGAGTTTGCTTGAAATGGCCTTATGGTTTTCTTATAAATTGAGGTGAAAAATGAGGGCTCGGTTAACCGGCTCTCCTTTCAAGGAGTCCGTGCGGTGTCCAATCCCAGCACTATCCCTGTAGTTTTCCTATAGCCAAACTACCCCTTCCCAAGAAACAAAAAAAAATAGTGTGAGAAGGTTGTACGCCGCATAGCAATGATCACATAGGGACTTAGACACATGCAAACAAACTGCAATCTCACTCAGAACACGGAATTCTCAGTAAATCAAGCCGCAGTACTCAGAGAACTTGATCGTGTGCAGGTCATCGCAATGCCCTTTAGTCCACACATTGCACAACTAGGCTGTGCACAAAGTACCCTGCAGCACTGAAGTGCACACTATGCATAAAGTAGGTAAATAACTGTTTGGGGGTGGCAGGGGGGCAACGACTGGTTTTCAACCAGGTTCCTAAACCAGACTCCAAGGTGAGGAGTGGAGAAAACGCTCTGGGCTAACATCATAGCAGTAGGTGCTACGTCGCTGAAGTAATCTATGCCATGATTCCAAGAAAAGCTGAAGTTATTAACGAAGAAAACATTTCTGAATCCAAAGTAGCTCTAGTTTATGGACAGATGAATGAGCCGCCAGGTGCTCGCATGAGAGGGAGTGACAGAGGAAGGGAGGGAGGGAGGGGGGGAAATGGAGGATGGGATTGAGGGATGGGCAGAGGGATGGAGGGATGGAGGATGGGATGGAGGATGGGATGGAGGGATTGACAGAGTTGGAGGGGTGGTTGGGATGAAGGGATGGACGCATGAATGTATGGATGGAGGGATGGACAGAGGGATAGGGGATGGACAGAGGGATAGGGGATGGACGGATGGATAGAGGGATAGAGGGATGTAGGGATGGACAGATGGATAGAGGGATAGAGGGATGTAGGGATGGACACATGGATAGAGAGATGGAGGATGAACAGATGGATAGAGGCCGAGAAGAGGGATAGAGGGATAGAGGGATAGAGGGATAGAGAGATGGAGGATGAACAGATGGATAGAGGCCGAGAAGAGGGATAGAGGGATAGAGGGATAGAGGGATAGAGGGATAGAGGGATGCAGAGGGATGTAGAGGGATGTAGAGGGATGTAGAGGGATGTAGAGGGATGTAGAGGGATGTAGAGGGATGTAGACGGATGGACAGATGGATGGAGGGATAGAGGGATGGGCAGATTGGATAGTTGGACAGATGGATAGACGGATGGACAGATAAATAGATGGATGGATGGACGGATATACAAATAAATAGACAGATGGATAGGCAGATTGGTGGGCAGATGGTCAGTCGATTTCCGGTAGACAGGTAACAGATCCATCCATTTATTGATCCCTCTCATGGATGGATGGATGGATGGATGGATGGATGGATGGATGGATGGATGGATGGATGGATGGATACACAGATGCAATGATGGATGGATTGATAGATGGACAGATGAATGGATGGACAGATAGATAGATAGATAAGTAGACAGATGGATAGATGGATGTACGGATAGATAAATAGACAGATGAATAGATGGACGAATAAATAGGAAGATATCTGTTATCTGTCTGTTGATTGATCTATTTATTATTGATATATCTATCTAGTTGGCTGTCTGTTAGTATCTGTCGGTCTGCCCGTCTGTCTTCCTGTTCAACTCCCTGTCTTTCTGTCGGACAGTTGGTCGCTTGGTGGGTTGGTCAGTCATTTGGTCGATTGGTGTGCCTGCTTGTGTGCTTGTCTATCTTTTCATCTGCTTATCTATCATATGGATGGGGTCTAACCTGATGGATCTGTATGTTGGTGAAAATTCTGCGGAGCAGGATGGTATTTTCCGAATCGTTGCATCAATTCTTCATCTTGGAAATGTTGACTTCAAACCAGGCAAGGAGGCAGACTCCTCACAACTTGCAGATGACAAGTCCCGATTTCACCTCAACTGCTGTGCGGAGTTGCTGGGGTAAGTGCAAGCTTCCCTGTTAAATGAATGAGAACAATGCATGCAACCTGCCAACCTCCACGTCTTTACTTGTTTGCTTGTATACCTCCTCCCTGCCTCTGTGCACTCTGGGTGACTGCCCCTTTACGGCTTTCTTTGTCATTGCCAGAACGAGAAAGGCACCAAACGCTGTTCCTTCACAGGCAATTTCACGACTTTGTTTAATTGCTCTTCATTTCTTGGGTAACCCATAATCTGCATGATATTCCAGCTGGTCTTAATGCTCCTTTCTACATCATCAGTTGACTTCTTTTCGATGATACCCTCTGTGGCTCGCACCTTCATGTAAATTGGTTATATGCGAACAGTTGATTAGGATTGTTAGGATGTGTGAGAGGGAGGGAGAGGGGAGGGGGTTGTTTGTGTGTGCGCACACGCACATGCATGATCATGTGCAAGTGCTGAACAGAGACACATGCGCACACAGACATACACAGAGACACATGTGCACACCGACATACACACACACATATATATACACACACACTCACATGTATATATATACACACACACACACACACACACACACACACANNAGAGAGAGAGAGAGAGAGAGAGAGAGAGAGAGAGAGAGAGAGAGAGAGAGAGAGAGAGAGGCAGCCAGACTGACAGGCAGTGTGAGAGAGAGTTTTATGGACGGAGATAATCCTTTACTTGACACATACAGTGCCCTGTTATACCTTACCGCTGCTGCTGATGCAAGTGCTACTACTCTTCTTTCAGTATTATGTGAGTATACTTCCTCAAAGCAATAGGATGGAGTAAGGAACACAATTTATGAGCACTGCTTGAATTTTTATCTCATTGATCTGTTTGCTACTTCTGTGTGGCCCCCAACAGAGCGAACCCAAAGCTTCTGGAAGATTCACTCATCCAAAGAATCATGGTTACGAGGGGAGAAGCCATCACCAAGCTACTGGACAAGAAACAGGCTGTTGGAAGTCGTGATGCTCTCGCAAAAACTCTCTATGCCAAGATGTTCGACTGGTAAGATGTTTTTTTTTTCTCTTTTCCTCCCATCTACAAACACAAATATTGCCTTCTGTCCCTATTGACTGTGTGTTTCGAGCCCTTTTCATCCCTTATACTTTGGACCATTTCTTTGATCAACGAGTTATTAGGGGTCATGCTAATCTTCTCTCTTTAGTTCCAACCATGGATGTCACTAATGACATTCCTGCTATAGTCCTGTCCAGTTCATAATGCAAGACTGCTTTGAGATAATGCCGATACATCACACCTCCAAAACAAGCGGGTATAGACCCGGAGAAAACAAGAATGAACAAAGAAAGAAGAAGACGAAGAACAGTGTCACAAGATTGAACCAATGACATTCTCTCCTCTCGCCATCGTCATCAACCCTCGTATCATTGCCTCCTCTTATAACAATTGAATACAATAATGAATGAATGAGTCTCCCTTACTGCTGGCACTCGAAGATTTCTCCTTTAAGCCTCTTTCTCTCCTTCTCATCATTGCGCAACTAGATATGGCGGCTCATCCTTTTTTTTTTTTTTTTTACAAAACAGGACCAAAACAGGTTCTTATGACTCTGGCTCCATTTCCATTCTGGGGAGCATCAGTCCGGTTCCTATTCCACTGGCAAGTCCGAATAAGCTATTACATCATGAAACACACTCAAGCTCCCTTCCGTCTAGCAGACTCTAGCTGAAGGAACCCTGACCAGCATTGATTACTCCAGCATCATGGAGTCCACCTTTCTTCTCAGGGCCACTATATGAACCTGTCAGATAAATGATAAAGAGCAAGCAAAGTAAAAGAAGCTACCGAAGATGCAATCTCGGAACTTTCTGTTCCATATTACGTGGCCTGTTGTAGATCTTGTCCATCTGCTGTCTGGGATCTCTGCCATCTCCCCCCTGCTTCTGAAGTTTGTCAACCGTGCTTAGCATGGATATGATGGATATCCAAAGAACAATACACAACTGACATGCCTCTCCTGTCTTGTTTTGCCAGAGACGCACTCCCGGATGAAGTCCATGTTCATCTGGTACCCCAGCATGGGCCTTCTAGATAAAGCATTGCTGGGTGCGTCGGCTTCTTCTCAAAGCGAGCCCTTCCAGTCATGTCACACAGGGGCAGGACAGTACGTAATGCATTGGAATTTTATGGCTCCGAAGGGCTGCACCGGTTTATGTCCCACCTAGCCTGACAACAAAATAGGGCTGATCGGGCAAGCTTTCCCTTCCCACGGTCGGCACCACCAGTATCCTCACCGAGCTATGGATGCTCGTGCGACAACTTTTACTTGTTGCAGTAGACACACATTGGGCGAGGGTTTTTGCACAGTCGTTGATCTTGCATACACAATGGATAGCGCCTTCACCAACCTTCCCGTAACCAAGCTCACGAGGCGCTGATCGCCTGTGATCAACTAGGGTGTCGAGATTCCTACCCTATCAGTCCCTTCGCTTATCCTCTTGGTATCATACAGTTGTGCACTCCCTTCGCAACAATCAGCTTCCCAAGTTTTGTACGATACAGGCACAATATCAAATGACCTTGGTGAGTGGACTCCTAGCCCCGCTTTCAACACCGCCTCCCATGGATGACAAACGACTGGATCTAACAGGCCCGTTGACATTCTCTGCACCACACTACACTGTCCCTGCCTACTACATTGTCAGGGGTGTATAGTGGCCCATTCATTCTAACGTGGGGGTGGAGATTGCCTTCAGTACGGGCCAACCGAGGCCCCTGACACAGAAGTCGTTGCGCCAAACCATCAAGTGAAGTTTAGGATAATCGTACACTGAAGTGTTTGAAGTTGCACATACTCGGCTTCACCCATCACGCGTCCTAGAACATCCAACTCTAAGGAATCATATTGTAACAAGAGAAAGTAAAAAAATAACCCCATAGTCTGATATTGTGGCACATGATGCTGTTTGACATTGGCCCCTTAGTCTTTTCGGGACACCCTACTAGAGTTAGTTCATAAAGACCAATCTGACAACAAACTGTTGTTTCAGTATAGTCTTTTCTGCACCATGATACCATGAGTGCAGCAAATAGCATCTCACTCCATCACGCATAGAACAAACTCACAAAGACTGTCTTCTGCAAGCTCCACGCCATCAATGATGCTCAACTCACACAATCAAGTGGATCTGCATGGGTACACACACAAAGAAACCAAACAAACAGGAGCAACCAAGAGTCACTCCACAGTTCCAGAGATGCATGAGCCATGAAGGACATTAGCCAAGCAACCTGTCAAAGACAGAAGAACGTGAACAAAGTCGAATCCAAGCAGCAACCAACTGCAATGACCGATTTGCACAACCAATTTCTCGTATGCTACTTAAGCTCCCACAACTCCATTTCTTCTTCACCCAGTTCCTTCTGCCTGTCAACTGACAGCATCCCCCCTCCGCTTGCAGATTGCCACAAGCACCCGACATCACCGTCCACCATCTACGCAGTCAGCAACAAATGCAATAACTGCAGGCAGAACCCTCTTGCTGTTTTCTGGAATGTTTCACTGAGGTGGTTACACACACAGGTAGACCACACCGATTTTGACATCTTTGCACACCTTGTTGTTTTGTGGAATCTACGCAGTCAGCAACAAATGCAATAACTGCAGGCAGAACCCTCTTGCTGTTTTCTGGAATGTTTCACTGAGGTGGTTACAGACACAGGTAGACCACACCGATTTTGACATCTTTGCACACCTTGTTGTTTTGTGGAATGTTACACTGAGGTGCTCTCGTTTTGTGTTCCTCCTGCTGACAGGTTGGTCGACAAGGTCAACAAGTCCATTGGTCAAGATCCCAACTCCAACACTCTGGTTGGTGTGCTTGATATTTATGGCTTTGAGAGCTTCACGGTGAACAGGTAAGCTGGATATAGTTAACACATCAGATTGCAATTAAAGAGTTCATGGTATGCAGGCACACATAGCTACCTCTCTCGTGCTATCCTCTTTGACTTGCAAATTTATTATTTAACCTTGTATGCAATACAGCATCGCCAATCCGACCCTGATCACTCATTGCAAGCCTTTTGGGGTTTGGTTAGTTTTATGTCGTTCTTTTTCCTTATCCCCATGCATTTCCCAATTTGATGTGACTTGTAGGCATCTCTTTCAGCTGATATTCTCGTCCACACAATGTTTGTGGGGAAGGATTTCATAGTAAGTTGTCGTTACGTGGTTCAAACTTTTAAATCATTTTATGTGCAAAACGGTTCTGCTCTTGATGAGAATTATGTAAAAAACGGTTTCCTCTAACCAGGAATCATCTTTTTGGGCTGAGAATCGGTTGTCACTTGTTAGCTTGAGCTGAATTGCCCGTCTCTGATTCAAATGTTGGCTGTTTCAGTGACTGTGTTTGTGTGAATGTGCACCTGTGCAGTGGGTATGTGCATGTACATACTCCTGACTGTGCACACTTGCACATGCATTTGTGTTTGTGCGTGAAGAGAGAGAGAG